GAACAGTGTTACCAATCCTTGACACTCGACTGCCATTTTATACTAACATTTAAATTCTATACCGTATCTAGAATGTACCGAAAAAATAGGTCCATTTTAACATATAAAACATCGCACTTTGACTATCACAGGGCCAGTTGATAAAACCTCTACAAAGAATCGGGGATTTCGAGTGACACCGTTCACGACATTTCAGGTCATTCGCTGCGGAAAATGTGTACCTTTGTATCGTCATCGTCGGAGGAAGGTGCCCTGGCGGCTGGGTCGTCCGCGTCGAGGTAGGGCTGCGCCGCCCAGCGCCGCTTCTCTGGTGCCGCGCCCGCCGGCGAGGAGGCCCCGCGTCGGCGCCCCTCGGGCCGAGCCGCACCCCCGCCCTCCGCGGCGCCGGCGCCCGCGTCCGTTCCGCTCGGACTGCCGTTTATTACCTGCGCGTACACTCAAATTATACTTTAAATATTTAATTTGAATATATACATTCAACACTATTGATGAGTGAGGACGGAAGGTAGCACCGGCAGCACCGCGCTCCCTCTCTCCCCGCAGCCGCCGGCCCGCCGCTAGAAAAAACTTGCCATCAACGGCGGCGGCCAGCGACGCAAGGAGCGAGCGGCGACGTCCGGCGGCCGCGCAGGAAGCCGCGCTAACGGCGCCTGAGCAAAAACGCGGGGATAAGCGCGTAGGGCTGCCGCCCACTGCGCCTCTTATTTACATTATATTTAAATAAAAAACCCATTCAAGAGAATATTGAAGTCTCAGAGTTATAAAACATTTAAAAAAATGTGAAAAAGATGAACCAAAAAATATATCTGGGGTTTACGACCTATACAATAGTATGTATTTTGAACAATTACTTTACACTACGGCGGAGTGGAGAGAGATACTGCGAGGTTCAGCTATTCACATAGGAAGAATAATTACAAATACGATAGGAAGAGGAAGCAACTAGAATATCCCAAACAGAAATCTGTTGTTGATCAAATACTAAATGATGAATAGGAGCGCCAGCCCTCGCGTACAACTTGAATGGGTCGCTGCGACAACACAACCCCGGCATCCTCCCCCGCCCCTCC